TTTTAAAGAGAAGCAAAAACTTTCTAAATATTTTTATATTCACATTTATTGACATTATTAGTTTATTAACAATCTAATTATTACTAGGTTTCATTTGATTCGGTAAAAAAAATTAAGAATTTATTAACACCGATTTTAATAAATTATATAGTTACCTGAAAAATGAAACGGAACATAAATCCGAATCAAAAATTTTTTAACTTTTTTAATCTATGTCTGATAGTCTATTACTGCATGTATGAAATACTATCTCGGTTTTCAGCGATATTATTTAAGGAATATGGCATTCGGAGGTCTCTTTCTTTCTATTCCTCAAATTCAACTACATTAAAAAAACGTATGTTAACAGATTTTGCATGCTTCAGCATCGCACGTATCCTTCATTACAAACATGGAGATTTTTATATTTATTGGTAATGATCCTTGCTAACTATTGTACGAATAACAGATGATATCGAAAGGGGAGTACGCTATTGTGCAAGGTTATACATCGAATGATGTAACGCAAATCACATTACATCACTTTATATATTTTAGTCCTTCCACGAATAGAGCTCAAAGATGAACTATCGACATTTTAAGGTCTTATCCGTTCTGCAATTATTGGAACTTAAATAAATGCTGTAAAAGAATAGACACAGGTCAATCAAACTAAGGAAGTGATTAATTGTAAATTTCTCTTTTAATATATTTCAATACAGTGTTTTAAGAAAAAGGAAGTTGTAAATAATAATGTAAAAGTTTATAACATGCAAAAATAATAATAAAGATATATTTCTTTAAAGGTTTCTTTAGAATTTTAGTTTAAATACATAAAATAAATATATCTTTCCAAGTTTTATTCAAGCTACTTGGAAATTGCTGACCCGCTTTTAGTTTGGGAATGGAGAAAATTATCTGTTTTACTTCTTTTTTATACATATGTATGAATATTTGTAACCACGTTAGAATTTCGTCTCGCCCATACCTAGTTTGAATCTTCAAGAATGTCGAGAAACAAGTTTCTCATATGCCAAACATTTGCGAACAAACAACTCATGCAAATTTTCTTTCACAGTCACATAAAAATTCCAGAATTTTTAAGAAGTAAAATGAAGGGAATGGATAGCACTTAAAAATTGAAGTAATTGGAGAAAATGCTTTTATGAAACTTCCTATATTCCCCTTTTAATATTTATTAAAACATTCCTGTAAAGAACGTTCGTAAACTTCTTTTTTGTCTCTGAATATAGGTAGCTATTCGTTGCTTGTTCACAATGCTGAATTGCGGAAAAGAGGGGAGGGAAACTTCATAGAATGAGTTTCAGAAGGCAGTTCTGAAATTAATGATTTTTAAATAAAACAAGAATCTGCTTAAAACTAATTCATCAGGTTTAGCTACATGGGTATTTGAAAATGATTCCAACAGTTTATTTGTCAGATAATACACTACTTAATTTTCTTAGAAAATCCTCTACGATCCAACCTTGCCTAAAGCACGAAGCCACATCATTGGCCAAGTGGTTAAGATAACTGAATACTTGTAGTTCGACCTGATTTGGGTTTGAATCCAGGTGAACGGGATGACTGTATAACATATTTTCGTGGTTTTTCTCCAGCATATCGTGATTACCAGTCAGTTTTCCTCAGAAAGCCCTCCAAAAAGGCATTTTTCCTCTTAGGCAATTGCTTAGTAGCTTTACCATAGTTAAATTATCTAATTAAAGCATAGTTCTTGCGTACATTACTTTAATCAATTAACCAAGCGTTCGGTTATTCTTTTTTTCACTTTTAATAGCTCTTCTATTTTGTTGATTGATTCAACATCCATGATATTTTTCTTCTTAAAAATTTTCTAGAGCAGTTCAAAACAGAAATATGATAAAATCAAATTCCGAGTAAAAACCTTTACCTATTACGTTTCTGGTATTGCTATCATCTCAGTTAAAATAAAGCATTTCAGCATTTAAATTAATAATAATAACAACAACAAAAATGCGATATCAAACTTTTAAACAAACATTTCTTCTAAATTTTCAAATGACTTCTTAAAATTTTTTCGATGCTCGAAATGTTGTTAATAAAATTTTATTTCATTAGTTGCATTTATATAGTGCTACATTTCGGATGTATATATAATAGTTAATTATTCCGAATGCATGTAATGATTACTTTACATCATACTCACTTCAGCTTTTTATCATATCAGCATCTCTAAGATTTAATTTTTGCTAGCGAGAAAAAAAATTCATCACGCAATTCATTATTTATATCATATTTGTAGTTAATAAAAAGAAGTTAACATGTAATCAAAGAATGACCTTGCGTGATACTATTCAAGGCCATATTTGTTAAATGTTTAACTAGTATTAAACTAAACTCTCTCTCTCAGAGTTTATTCAAATGAACCTAAAAGCAAAACTATTAGTCAATAGGGAGCCAATCACTGTCTTTGTTAGTTTGTTTAAATTCAGTTAAGATAACAATCTCGAATGCAGATTGTCATGTGAATAATACGTTGTTTCAAAGTTAGATCGTTAAGATACTTTCGCACAGTTGTTAAAGCTATCTATTGCACAAGGAGTATGCAGTATACTAAATATTAGTACTTTTTTATTATAATATAAAGCTAGCATATAAAGACCAAAATCAGTAGTAATAATATCAAATTGTTTTTACTTTACTGTATCGTTTATATCAGCGGTTCTCAACCTTTTGACTAACGCGTACCATGAAAACAAAAACTGAAAATCTTTAGTACCACCACTATAAAGTACTACTACCATTACCACTCTTGAACAAAGCTCAGATCATATAAATTTACGTGTGTTAGAGAAAAAATTCAATCAGCATGTTGGGGTTTTAACTTTTGAATTTAATAATTAAAAATACTTTCTTTGTTTACCACTTATTTTTCTCTTGCCCACCACCAGTTGAGAATCCGTGATTTATATCATTAACATGCTATTTATTTCCCACCAGGTGGTGCAAATATAAGTTGATCCAAATGCAGGTAAACGTTTAAAATATAATATGTATTTCAATCGATATTAACTCAATTACCAAAGTTATATTTCTTTCTGAAGGAAATTTCTTAGTACACAACGTTTTTAATTCCTCTTTTATTTTCAAGATGAGGTTTCACCCATACAAGAACATAAAATATTGCATAATAAAGGCTACGTTTTGCAGCCATGATTTCCGAACATAATCTGAAGAGGGACAAAAACATGTCGATAATAGTAACACCATTTCTTCAAAAATCATTAATAATATGTGCCGTTTCACTTTTCAAGTTGCCAACAACATTAGATAATTTCTGCATATTTGCAACTTCAGGTCCCCTAAAAACAAAAATCGTTGGATTAACCAGCTATGTGCCTTGGCTCCGGGCTTTATCTTCATGTTCCAGATATTCTGCGTGGAAAACTAAATTACAACTCATTACAAGCTAGCTACGCGGATGACACCACTATAGCAGTCAGATCAATTCAACCTAAGCTATTAACAAACTGTAGGATATTGTTTAGAATACTGGGCATTGATGGACACGGTGGAGAATTTCTGTCCTCAACAACAAACAACAAAGCTACTATTAGTTCGTCGCAAAAGATCACAAATTATAAATATTCAGCCTTTATATCCGTCCGGAGCCCAAGCGGGGACAGCAGCTAGTGACAGTTATCTGGGGGTGTTTCACTTGCAAAGAATTTTAGGCTCAGCCTTTGCCAGGAAAGGCCAAATTTACATCGCCATTATAAGGCTTATTAGGTGCTGCGTGTTTCCAGTCTAGACAGCCACTACAAAAACTTATTTGAAAAAGCTCCAGATTGTGCAAAACAATATCCTTAGACAATTACTGGAATGCATTATTATATTATAAAAAAGCTCTTGCACAATAATTTAAGAATTGTTTATGTAGTTGACTATCAGCAGGAGTGCAATGAGAAATTCTTCAGTAAAAGGCATATATTGTTTCAAGGGCAATTTATTCGCCTCTTTAACGTCTGAGATCCTCCCTGAGAGCTTTAAAATCAGAATTTTAATATTTAAGGCAAGCTACATTCAGCTGTGCTGCGATTTTGCAAATGACATGCATTTCATTCTAGCTGAGCGAATATAAAGACTGTGATCGAGATGTACGATTAGTAAGGCATTCATCGTATTTAAAATATTGCGGGAAATACGTGATGCACAACTTAGTTGTGCCTTTGGTATCAAATATATTCAAAGCAAACAATGTACAACTAACTATTCCCTCCCATCTGAAAGACATAAATCTCTTCTGCGACACACCGCATTACATTAATTTAATAGTCTTGAAACGAGCACAACGATGGTCAGTCGCCTTGATAACTTCTTTAAAGAGGTCCTTTCTACACGACTCTGCGTTCCCTTGTGCTCCTAAAAGTCGAAAGTTTGCCTGTGGGAGACCCTGGAGAGGACAATACCCTGGAAATTTTAAATCTTTCCTTCAATGAAAATGTTCTTGAAATGTTAGCATTCCAGTTGGGTGACCACATGAAAAACTGTATCGAGTTACTTATGTAACATCTAACAGACTTGATTGACTTTTAGATGGGCACTTTAAATTTAGTTTGTCAATGGGACAACTGCCTTGAAGAATGCAGAAATGTCTTCAAAACAGAATACCAAAGGTATTACTTCTCGTGGCATCTTCGAACGAAAACTTCTTGTGCGTCCTACATAGGGACTACCCAACCTTCTTATGAAGTCATATATGCTTATGATCTCTTCTGAAATGCTTAACTTTAATAATATTTAAAGCAGTCACAACAGCAAAATTTTGAAAACTAAAATGATATGCTTAATGATTACTTGAAAGAATTCCAATGATTGCAGGAAATCGGACAGATAATCATTAATTTGCAAGTCCACGTATGTAAGAGCGTGTTCATAAGATTTTATGCACTTTGCTGTTTTCACAAGCTTTTCGTAAGATTTTATTATAGACAAAAAATAAAAACGAAGGAAGCAACGCATAAGAATAAAATATTTACCTTTCCACTGATAAGAGCTTGGACTGTGATGACTTGAGCGGGCTTCGAAAAATCCGCCACTTCCCCGGGCAGAAGGTACCCGATGCCCGGGTCGAACCATACCAAGTCTCCCTGTTAAAAAACAAGTTAAATTGTAAAGTGATACTACATTAAAAATAAATCTAGTCAACGAAAACAAGCAAAGAGGGGGAAAAAACTCCCGATGTTTTAAAAATTAAACCTATTTATAGATACAATATTTGGACATTAATTTAAAAACAAATCATTGCGTCAGTGTTAATTTTGGAAATCTGACATAACTCTCTTAAAAACTAATATGAGTAAGCTTATATGAGTAATAAATGGAGTTTAAAATGTGTCGTTTTTATACGAATATATCAAATTAGGTTCATTCCGGTCGGATACTTCAACATGTACGAAGTGTATGAGACAATCTGAAAAATATGAAAAGTTGTATATTGTTACGAAATGCCCAGCCGCGGTAAGATAGCTTCTCCGCAAGGCGGGTTTAGGATTGCCATACTGGGGGCGAAATCTCCCATTTGGCGACATTATCACCGATATGCCATAAAACGGATGGATAACATTCTGAAACAAATTCTTACCGGTTTGGCGCAGAATGTTCTCGAAGGCAGGCCAAAAGCTATGTAAACTCTGCCTGGACGCGAAGTACTAGCAGTCTAGTGTCGAGATGCCTCGAGAGCGTGCCTCGATGAGACTATCGATTGGAGAGTCTCGAGAGTACGTTGAGTTCCGAGAACGACCGAATCGAGTACGGAGCTGTACTCTAGTGCTTTGCGTGGAGCTATCCTACCGTTATAGCCTGATAGCTGACTGCTGATTGTTTCAGCTGTGTTGCTGATTGTTTCGTCGTGTTTATCGTACTTTTTCGACGACTGTAAACGTGTTTTTGGAGCTGTCCTGAGTAATACTGGCTAATAAACTGTGTTTTCATTCTTCATCAACTGTTGTCGTTAAATCACTGCAAACCCACGAACCCGTAAGAACGCAACAATATTAATGTGTAATTATTAAAGCCTTACTTCTCCTTGTCAACAAGATGAGCAATTAAAATTTTCACGTTTCATACATATAGAGAAGTAAAGCAAAAATGACAAATAATTTTTATTAAAGTTACGAGAATATTAGTTGGAGAGTAAAATGTAAATATGCAGCCTGGTTGACAGAAACAAAACCATCTTACTATCAACGCATATAAGAACTGAAGAAACACCTTACGATTATTTTGAATGAAGAAGGTCAGCGCTTTATTTATTTAGCATGGCTAATCAACTCTTTGAAGTGCATACGGAAAGCTAAGAGAAGGAATTTTTAATAATCTCCAAATAAAGCAGCTTATAAGCAGCATATACACTTCATAAATTAAAGGAATATGATTGAATTTCAGGCCTATTAGTATTTCTTTGGTGTCAAGACCTCCTTTGCAAATATAAACTAGAGACTATTCTCAATTAGTAAATAGAGAAAGAAAGGAAAGGGAAATGTTCTCCACTTTTAGTAAGACTCAATAAACAGTCCTGAAGATCTTTTTTAATTCGCCGAATGATTCAATTATGTGTGTGAGACTGAATTTGAAGTAATTACCTATGTTACATTTAAAATGTATCAAAAGTTTTATTTACCAATACCAAATGTATTACTTCTGTATTAAAGAAATTATTATTCTGTATTAAAAAAATTTCTGTATTAAATCAAGTATTAAGAAATACTTGATTACTTTATATCACGTAATACATAATATAATTATAATAATTATAATTTTAAAAACTTTCTTAATTTCATGAAAATTTGAATTTATTTACAATTTAGTTATTAAATTATAACATGTCAGATTTAAAGAATATTAATGAAGAGATTTTTTTAATATAATGTATATTAGCACCCTTTTTTTGCTTTAATATAGTGCATATTAGCACCCTTTTGTTGCTTTAATATAGTGTATATTCGTGTTTCATTCCTACGTATAGCGGTAATTCAAAGGGGTACTGCTCTCAGTCCACCTATCCAAACTACGTTCAGTCATAAGGCTCACAGGGGCTTACGCAGTCACAAGGGCTTACGCGTCACAAGGGCTTACGCAGCCAAGGTGAAACTTAGACAATCAAAACAAAACAGAACAGAACAAACTTAAGATGACTGATGAATATAAACTCATCACATCTAACATCCACAAAAAAGAAGGAAAATAATAACTCAAACCAAAATTCCGAATTCAGTCTTACTGCTATTTATATATTTGATAATTTTCTCTGCTACTGTGTTTAATTTTGTATAATTTTTAAAATCGGTTTCTAAGTCGAACTGATGATTCCTCAGAATATTCTTAGTAGCTAGAAAAATCTCGATGAAGTGAGCATTATTGCGCTTAATATTACAAATTTTAGAATTTTCATTTTCTTGAACTTTAAATCTAAATAATTAAGCCGGGAACAAGTACAAGAATCTGATTTACATCAATAATTCTTCTCTTCTTCTGATTAATATCAATATTTCTCATGTTTCTCATGTAGTTTCTCATGTTTCCATGTAGTGGTAGTTTTTTCCGCGTTTATCCAATGATCAATAATTTTTCCTTTCATCAACGTAATAATTCTTCTTCTACAATACATCGAATTGTTGATTTGCTTGTCCCAGGCCAGCTTCTTTTGCCAGTGTGCCCACCCTCATTTCCAGCAAAACACACGTAGGCCTTAATCCAATTTAAATAAATAAGTATGATTTTCACTCAAAAACTTAGTCACTTAATCAGAATATTATCAGAATAAGGATTGGAAAACTTGTGAAACAGACAACGCATCCAAATATATATAAATAGTATGTCCATAAACTAAATTTTCTTTTCTTTTATCCTTTTCAAAGAATAAAAAATGGACCTCAGTTTGGCTTGATAAACAATATTCAGCCTATCAAGTCTATATTTTCTATTTTCAATCTCGGTTTCAAAAAAATATACAACGAAAGCATAGTGTATTTTGGAACGAAAGCATACTCTATCATATAATGAAAGCATAGTCTACCGTAGTCTATTTTGGAGCCATCCGTGTATATATCTGTTTTTTCAATGTCCATAAAATTTTTATGAAATGCGATACTCGTATTTTCTACAAGATGAATTTCAGTGTTATTAATTGTTCCAAAAACATTTAAAATATCAAGTCCTCCCATAGAAACACTTCTTAGTAGAAATTTATTATAATGAATTTATAGTCCAACGAGAAAGGAAGAACAACGAACTGAATAAAACTAGTTCCAGGTTTGAAATCAGAGCCACAAACATATCCGAAAAATTGTGTAACCGTAAAGACTACTAAGCGTTTTGAAGGGGAGCAAAAGCATGTGTGCTCGCGAAGAAATCGAAACACGGATCTTCCAATTTACTAACTGAAATAATGGATACGCAATTCCTCACATATTAATTTTCAAAGTACCAGCTTGTATACTGACCAGTATACAATTATAAACAAAACTCCACTATATTTTAAGCTTCCATAAATGTTAAAAAACCATTGCAGGTGCTAAGAAAATAAACTTCTAAGACAAATTTCTGCAGCAGTACAATTGAATATGCCTGTTTTAAGAAATTTTCCCCATTGCTCTTATGAACTTAGAAATCGTTTTTACTCAATATGAGAATTCAAATAATGTTTTTAATTATCTAGTTACAGAAAAAACTTTGCAAATAAAATTATAATGCTATATACTTTCCGATTTGTTCATGTTTTTCAATTCATAACGTAAAACTATTCACAGCAATATTGTTTACATTTCCATAACTGTTAACCATAGAATTATATCCTGAAATTACAACAACGGAGGCATTCCATATTATATTTCCAAACAATTCACGCATAAAGCGAATTACAATTATGGTTACAGATGTTCTACTTCAAAAAGGGCATTCATTTAAAGTATTCCGTATGTTTCAGAGAATAATAAAGGTAATAAACATTCCAGAACGGTTCTTCTTGCATTACTATAAACTACTGTATGAGCCCAAAGAAACAAAAGACAATTTTATTTCTGGTTATTGATATATGAGCGAGCCCAGAAGAACAAAAGGCATAGCTTAATTCTATTTTTATAACTTTTTAATGAAGACTCAATAAATGATCATTAATAAAAATATAAAATATTTTATTACTTATAATAAGGAAGGAACTGTAGGTCATGTTCGGCCATTCTTGCGCAAACTTATTCTTAGCAACCAAACTATCTAAATGATGTTAAATAGCTTACTAATGCACATTTTTATCGTTCTTCCTGTTCATTAAGTTTTCTGATCATACGTATCTAATACGAACATCATAACAGTTTTTCCTAAGCAGTCCAATGACTGCAATCAAGTATTTCGGAAATAAGTTCCTAAATTACGCGTCATTATAAAGTCGCATCAGTTCTAAATAAAGATAGAAAACACTTCCATAAAATAATTTGTGCTAATGCAACAAAATGAATTTTCTCCATGAACAAATATTCACCGACAAATATTTCTTAGTAATTATTGAAAATGTTTTTGAAATTGAAATGAGCGTGTAAATAATCCAAAAATGCTACTTCTTTTAATTAAAATTTTGACTCCTGAAAAATAATAACAATTGAAGTATTATCGTAATTACAAAAATTAATTCAATGTGCTTGAAAGACGTTCAAAATTCTGTTATTCTGCGCTCAAATATTACAAATTCATTCGGTAAAATATTAGTCATCTTTCAGATAATTATGTTATGTATTGTTTAAGCAAAATGTTATTGATTTCACTTTGATAAAATTTTAAATCTATTGGAATATGAAAAACGAAAGTAAGAGCTATTTTATAATAAAAAGTATTAACTTGTAGGTTTAAGAAAGAAAGGATTTAAAAAAAAAGATACTTGTATTTTTTAGTAGAGCATTACACTGTTGACCTCAAGAATCTAAGAAGGTTAAACAGGGGTAGTTTTTTAACTAATTATGACACAATGTAAACCATCTACCAGTGGGGAGAGATCAGATTTCCAAAGAAAAAACTGTTACACATGGGGAAAACGCAAAAACACCCCTGGAGGCAGCTCTTTTGTTGAATTCGCATGCAAGTCCAACAACCAATTTTC